TGGAACTTGTAGGGCAAAGTGCACTCTCTGGCAGGCAAAACGTTTCAACTTTGCACCATCATCAGGGATCCCACGTTGACCTGAATAAACTCGCCGTCTAGATAGTGATGGTCTCGTGATTGACAACGGGAATGCGATTTTCCCAACTAGCGAAATGAATCATCCGGTTTCATAACCGGCTATTAGTTCGGTTCGCTCATTGTTCCAGACTCATGTTTTTCGGGTCGTCTATTCCCGAAAATATGACGGGACGTCAGTATTTTTAAACCGATGACTGATTGGCTCCGCTGTTTTCTCTATTGTCGCAACCTTTTATTACACGAACTCGCCGCACAGCGATGGATTTCTTGGTAAAACAAGCCTCTACACGGTGGCCCAGTTAAAAGAGAGTTCGAAAGGATCTCTTTCAAAGTGCTTGGATGCTTTGGAATGCGCTTCATTTTCAATAAACCTTGACACATAGCGAATTCGGGCGAGTGCAAAGCTCCCTTCTTTCAAGCAATTTTACTGTTGATTGTTTACTCAGATTTGCGACCTTGTTATTATGGCAAGGCAGTTTGTTTCTTTGTTACTGTTTAGGGGAGTTGAGTGTCCATACCATTCAGTTGCACAATCTGAACTGAATCATACAATGTCGAAGGCCTCGGTCACGTTCAGAAACACCGCCGAGGTTTTTCCTTTTTCGAGGAAGTTTCCTGAAGATGACGGACAATCGAAACGTGTGTCACTGACAGTACGGATCCTGCCCGGCCAGATGCATCCAAAAGTGCTTTACCAACTTTTCTAGTCATGGAGAAAATCAATGTCGAACTTTGGCCCAAAAAAGCAATTTTAAAAATCGGGCGCAGATTAAAAAAATTTTCAAAAATTTCCTGAAGATGGCCCAAATTCGAAACTCTTCCCACTTATAGAGCAAAGGTTGCCCTGCCAACTGATTACAACAGTGACTTTCTACCTTATCGGAATGCTGAGTAAATAAACGTCAAACTTGGGTTTGCATCTGCAGCCTCAAACGCCTGACGCACATTAAATAAATTGTGAAAAATCGCCTGAGGATGACTCAAAAACGAAACTTTTTCCACATATGGAACGCACTTCGAATGACAAAACGCGCATAAAATCGAATCTCTAGCTTTTCCAAATTTTGCRAAAATMAATCCCAATYTTCGACTTGCAAAAGCASCTTWAAAAATMAAAGACACACTAAGAAATTTGCCAAAARTTGCCTGAGGACGGCTAAAAATYGAAAC